GGATTATCTCTAACGAGGTTGTGATGAACAAAGACTAGGCAAGAAAACAGAAGGAAACTTGCATCACAGGAGTTTTTATCTTAGGAAGGCTTGCACTTAAACTTGAACCCATAAATGCACAGCCCATAATCCACATGTAATAATTGTTTGCATAGGCAAAAATGTTTATCTGCTGTCAAACCCAAGAAAGGATTATCTCTAACGAGGTTGTGATGAACAAAGTCTAGGCAAAGAAAACAGAAGGAAACTTGCATCACAGGAATTTTTATCTTAGGAAGGCTAGCACTTAAACTTGAACTCATATGATTGAGATTTATAAAATAGCATAAGAGCATAAAGGATTTCTAATTAGTTAAAAATTGGAGAATTTGTACTTTTCCTGGAACTCAGGGCCTTCAATACCAAATCTACACCTCAGTGCATTGAAAAAACTGTGACTTTCGAATTTTCAAGTTATCTCTTCAAAAAGAGGATTGGCATGTCTCTTGTCATACTACAAAACTGAAGAATGCAAAGTGTATTTGTTTCAAACTTTATCAACCAGCTCTTCTAGCAATAGCACAATGATCCTACCACAACACTGGCAGTATTGCTACAGGCTAAGATTCGCATAAAGCACCATAAACACGACATCGTGGGTAATTTGATTACAAAAACTCAAAAAAAAAAAAAAAAACCATCACTGAATCGATAACTTCTACTCTCAGCCACCTCAGTAACCACTACCTCTAGCTTCACATACTTCACAATTGCTACATTCAAGAATTCTATCACTATCTGTTAGTTGCTTAACATTTATAAATCTGATTTCAAGTGGAATAGGTATTGTGATTATTACTTTTGTTTTCCATTATTTTAATAGAATGTATCATGCTGTAAATCTTGCAATCATTTCCAAATATCACCCCAACATGCTAATTCTTTTAAGAAAAGAAGAATAAAAAAATAGAAGGGCTAAAGATAATTGTCAAAAGTATGTCCTATGAATACTATCAACTGTTTTTGTATTTCTGACCTCTCCAAAAGCCCCTCTCCCAATAATGGTTAAAAGGTCAAAATCATCAACACAAATCTTGTGCCTTTTAAGCCGCATATAATCTGACTCCTTGCGCTCCAAATCCTTCAGCAGACTGATTTGTTCCTCCTCTGGAACATCTGACGATGCCAACTTCTTTTCTAACACTAAACGCCTGCAATTCATAAAATTTGCCAGGATACACCAAAATCAAACACCTTACAGTCTAATCTCTTATCAATAACTGTCCTTTCACAAAACTACAATCATCTAAGGTAAATACAAACAATTACAAGGAAAAAAGAAGGAAGCAGCAGAATTAAAAGGATCAAACAAAGAAGAATAAATGCAACACATTATTATTAGCATCACTTTCTGCATAAAGAGAGACTTATATAAAAGAAAGGTTACTCAACAAAGAGCACAGCAGCATGGTAGAATGAAATGCAATGACAAAACCATGTGTAGAAAAAAATTATGCCACTTTATTTGACATTTCTAACTCAAATATCATGGCTCTTTTATATATAGCTATGCAGTCACACATAAGGGGTGGGCATATTTGAACTTTCGACCTCCCGAGGCCTTGGCCAATTCATATAACATTGGATAGAGGCCTTGTTTGCAGTTTTAATTCTAATTCTTTCTTTCAGCGCTCCTTCCAGCTGTGTTGTTCAAAGAACAAATGCACTTGCATCATAATGAAAATATGTAATTCTTTCTTGCATAAAGAGTAATTTCTACATTTTTTTTTTGCCCAACCGGTTCATTTGGGAAAAAATACTCAACTTATTACATGGAAAGTGATTAACATTGTCGTGTAGGTTCGGAACTCTGACGAATAGTTTCCATATAAAGGATAGACAGAGTTAATTATGACAACTCATAATTTATTAGATTTCAATGCACTTTTCTCTTTATTCTTTGCAAACTTCTATTAGCATCCAAACACCACAATAACCTACTTCAAGCAATCAGCTTCATTTTTCTAAAGATTAAACTTTTTCAGACTTTTTAAGTATTTCCCCTTTAATACTTAAATCCATTTCACCAATGTACCGCATGATCGTATATATGCAACTCATTTCTACGCCTGGAAGTAAACTGACATTAATTCATTAATTAAGCAAAGCCTTTCTGAACCAAGTTCTCTTTATTAACTGAAATTTTTTTTACTTCTGAATTCTATAGAATTCGAAAAGTTAACAAGAAAGAAGTACAACAAAATCACAATTTCACAATATTGCCAAAACCAATCCCATGCAATCAAAATGCTAAACACATTTCAGCTTCCAATCTAAGACCGGACATGCAGAAAAACTCAAACCAAAACAAGATCTTCATGAAAAGAAATCCAAGACAACAGATTCAAAGCCATGCAGAAACATTTAACCAATGAATCATGTAGATATGATTGGTATGCAATATAAATACACAAAACATCTTTTTCGCATATATACCTTTCTTTGCGTTCTTGGATATGTTTCATCTGGGCTTTATAGTGGCTCTCAATGAACTGCTTCGCCGCAGCCACCCTTTCAAGCGTCAAGCTGGTCACCTGCCCTTCCTCTTCTTCGGCCATCTCCCCAGCCATCGGTCCCACCTCGTCCTCCTCTCCTTCCACCTCCTCCTTCTTCTGGTTCTCCATTATACTTATATTCCTCCCTCTCTCTCTCTCTCTCTCTCTCTTCTCTTTTAAAGATAATAAACTCTGTTCTTCTTTTTTTCTCCTGTGCGTGGTTTTTGGTGATTGTGACAACGAAGCAGGCCAGGAGGATGCCTCAGGTTATTACATGTAAGGGATGAAACGAGACCTGAAAAAAACAAAGCTGCCCTTTACCTTCCTTTCAATTCAACAATCAGGCTTCGTTTTTTGACACGTGGTAATTTACAATTGGTTGTGGTCCCACTGACTCGTGGCTTCGACAGTTTGGAACCTGGAACTTGTCCATATGCGCGGCTAGACACGTAGGATTTTATTAGCGTAGACTTGACAAATTAACGGTCTCGAATTGTCGATGATTCCAACAAATATTAAATCAGATGGGACCCTCTCCGGCTGGGAAATAGCACATGAAAATGTATGCGGATGTTCGTGACCTGATCAATTCGTTCAGCTCATCAGACGAAGGCGACTTCCATTTTTGTCTATTAAAAGATCAAGCACATGGGACCAGCTAAATTGTTCTCCTCAGAGGATAGATTCTGTGTGAAGCTAACGTCATCAATGAGAGGGCCATGATGTATGTACAGAGATGATGATAATGATATTCAACATATCAAGTTTACAGATTTACAATACCCTTTGTAAATAGTAACTAATTTTAGAAATAATAGCTCGGCAATAAGTTTTTGATCCACCGGTGAAGATTTTAATTAAATTTGGTAAGACATTAATTAATCGGATTGCATCAAAGGATTCATCAGTCTCCCCAATCAATGCCGAGGAAGGGTTTGTTGTAAGTCACATTATGATAATATGAATATAACATAAAGTAATCAGTTTACTTGGTTCATGGAATAAATTAAGGGTCAATAGTTTCGTGAAACATGCAGAAAATGTATTGACTATGCTCACCAAAGTTTATAAATTTTTGTGAATTTTCCAAGCATTTAAGCTAATAAAATAAGAATGGTTGACAATTTACAAACCCGTAAGAAATAAATCAAGAATGATTTTTATTTCCATAGCCAAAAAGAATGACAAGCAAAAGATAAAAGACTACAAAAAGGATTCTAAATTAATAACTAATAATAATAATAAACCACTATAGAAAACCAATGCCACCAAGGCCATGGTGCAACAAATTGTGAGCAATGTGATCCCTGGCTTGTTCGGCAGCCATAGACCTCAAATTGTTCTCTGGGATCATTTCATCATCAAAAAGCTCAAATCGGAGCTCAGGGTCAATCTCCTCATTTCTCATCTCACATATATTATGCAAAACGCAGCAAGCTCCAAGCACAACAGGCAACTCCTGTAGCTTAACCTCGGTTCTCTTTTGCAAACAGGACCACCTTCCTTTCAATCTGGCGAATGCTTCCTCGGCCACCTTCTCGATCTCCCCAATTTTCTCACTAAAAGCATGTTGAGCCCAAGTCAGATTCTGGTGAGTATAAGGAACCAAAACCCAGTCCATCAAAGGGTACCCTTTACCCCCTACGACCCAAACATCCTTCAAAAGCCCCCTGGCGGCTCGTTGGTAAAAGGCAGACTTCTCTAAAACTTGATCATCAGACATGGAACCAGGCCAGCCAATACAAACATCTGTAAAAACTCCTCGTTGATCAACAACTCCTTGAAGGGTAATCGAATAGGAAGTTTTCTGATTCCTCTCCGTATGCTTTTTGTTAAAATACGCTGCCACGCTAATTTTTGGTGCAATGATAGGCACGTGAGTAGTGTACATGGCACCACCCACATTTGGAATCCCAGTTGCCGTCTCAAAATCCTCTTTAATCCTCTTCATATTATTCTCGTCAGGCCATTGAACAAATTTAGGCATCAAAACGGTTTTTATCGCTGTGGAAACCTCCAATACCAGCTTATGGCAAGTGGAAATCCCCAATCCGAATCGTTTCGATACCATCCTAAGCGGCTCGCCCGTCGCCAACCTCCAAATACAAACCGCCACTCGCTGACGAACCGGGATCGCGTCACGAAGCATCGTGTTCTTTTTCATCACCACATGTTCCAACTCCTCGCAGATCATATCGAACGTGGCTTTACTCATACGAAAAGCTCGTTTAAACTCCTCATCGGGGAAATCCGGATGGTTACATTTGTCCCACCAGTCCTTAGATCGATCTTTTACCCATAACCGCCTCTGCTGCCCGGATCCACTGCCCGACTGCGATGGGCCCACATTGTCCAAACCAGATGAACTCGCGGCGGCGGCGGCAGCAGCAACTGCTATACTGGATTTACGAGCGCGTTTGTTCCTGGAATTATCCAATTCGTCCATTTCAGTGTATTGGTTCTGCAGCTGGTCGAAATAACCATTCATTTCTTGAACTTTTTCCTTGTGATTGGCTTCGAAGAAAGCTTTTTCTCCTTCAGAGTCAGTGGCCCATTGAAGTTGCTCTTGCTTTGCTTCCTCGTCCAAGAGCAAAATCGAGGAAATTATGTCCTCAAACGCGCCCTTCTTCGATTCTTCGTTGACCAAAGATTCGCCACCTTTTCTACCCCTCTTCCTGCCGTTCCCATTGAACCCATTTTCCATATCTTGAAACCAAGAGAAGTTGCTGTTGTTGTTATAAGAAAAATCTTCCGGAGATAGAAATGTGAAAGAACCGATTTCCATATGGCCAATTAAGGGTTTCTTTTTGTTGATTGAAGGGCTTGATTGACGAAATGTGAAAGCAGATGATTTGAAATGGTAGATGGGAACGGAAGGCTTTGGTCATTTATATATGTATCAGCTTACGCGGTTAGCGAGTGGAGAAGATAAGAGGGGTAAGGAAGCGCGTGGGAAGCTCAGGTGTGAACGCGGTGTAAGGGTGCGCTTTGACGGTGACTTGACTTTTCTTTTTCTGTGGATTTATTTTCATTTTTGTTAAAAAAGGTACGCAACTCGGAGGGGAAATTGCTTTTTTTGTTTGTCCAGCGAGGTGGTTTTTAAGGATTCTGTGGGGATTCCCAGGGGACACGTTGGGAAAAAGGTAAGTCGGGCAGAAGGTTCGTTACAATAGGAGGGAAGGCAAAGGGGAGCAACTCAAAAGGGTTCGGACAACCTTAACTCAAAAAGAAACTACTTGTCCTAAAAAACTAAGAAAGCCTCCTGCCATTGGAGTAGGACTCTCCAGAAGAAGCTTAAAGCTCTAGCAACTTTTGGTCCTTAGGAGTTAATATAAATATTGCTCATTAAAAAGAGGCTCAATAATTATTTTTTCTTCAAAATTAATAACTTTGTTTTTATTTTTTATTATAATAAATTAATCTGTCGGTACGTAAGAATCATTTAACTAAAACTTAAAAGTATTTAGTATTAACATCGAAAAAGTACTAAAATTTGAATCTTGATTTTTCTTTTTACACTTGTTTTTTTTTTGTTAAATCAAATCAAATAAACCAATGGATTACATTAATACCAATTATAAACATTGGGTGCCTGTTTCAAGCCCTTAGCATACATGCTGAAATTCCCATTTGATATCTTCAGATCCCAAACTTAATTATGATGCTTTTGCACACTCTCAAAAACTTACCAAATAAGAAGAGAATCTCAAATGTTGATAGTTTTGGTAAACAAATCCACAATTTATTCAAGTTACACTAACTATATGGTAACCTACACCCACATCTACGACTGGATTTCCTAACTTCTTAGTTCTTAAGGGAAAAAAATCGACTAGGATACTTGAGTTAAGAAAAAAAAAGCTAGACCCATAATTAAAAGTCAAACTTGTAAAATGAGTTTGATATAAGGTTGCAATATTTTTATTCAATTGCATTCATTCGTGTTCAATTAACTTTGTATATTTTGTATTTTTTGTATAGATAATTAATTACATAGCCAAGAAAGAGTGGATGACAAGGTATTTTCAGCAGAAAACTGGTTTTGTTTTCATACTTGGCAAAATGGGAAAATCTGGAATTATTCCAGACCCTAATCAATAGATTGATTAGAACATCCTTGTACTCATTATGTACGAATCATCAGCTGTAACATCAACCCGTGCATCACAACTCTCTTTTTGAGCTTCAACAGTTTGTAGTTTTTTGGCATGTACCATGCACTGATGGATGACGTGTTGGTTTGTCAGCAATGGCCTTTACTTACATCATAAGTACTTACTTAATTAAACAAAAATAAGTGTCAGCAATATTGCATAAATTCGTATAATTTTCTTTAAAAAATATATTAAGTAATCTGTCAGATTATTTTAATAAAACTAATTCACATGTGAAAATTAGTTTATCAGTACCAACTTATCTCATGGTAATATTTATTAATATTCTCAAATTATTAAATCTTTGTGACAAAGGAATCTTTTTCCAGCATATAGCTAGATTCGATTTGGATTATTTTTATATAAACAATGAATTTTGACAGGCACTAGTTAAACCATAATTTATAGAATTATGGTATTTTTATTGGATTCAACCCAAAATATTTTAATCAGAGTAGCAAAATGAAAAACACATGCACTTAATGATTATTAACGATTAATTATTTTCTAAGTAAGGTATGACTTGGTTAATCGGTCATAGACTCGTATGGCTTGTTTGAATGCCCCTGATTTTCAACGGCAAGGCAGTTGACTCCCCACGGTTTCACCACGTGGAACAGAAACACGGCACTACCGATTCAGTGCTTTTTTCAATTTTTTTTTGTCCTTTTTGTTTTTCTCAGATGCCCAACAAATTAATATTATTTACACAATTGACTTTTATTTTATTGTTTCTCACACAATTATCTAAATTCTTGACTAGTGGCTGTGGCTTCTGTTCGTTTGAGAAAAATCCTTAGCCAAGAATTAATGAATGGTTTTACTTTCCTTATGGGTTTGCAACAAAGTTGCGGAAATTGAAAAGGGGAAACCAGTTTAAGGGAAAAATAGTGAAGCCATGGCCTCTCTTCTCAGTTCCTCTGCGGCAATTCCACTGCAATACAAGGTAACTTTATCAGCTAGCGAAGAAATTTGTACCAAGATTCTATCATTTACTTAGTTTTGAGATCGGGTAATGATTTGAAGTTGTTTAAGAATTGACTGAAATTGCATTGATGAGCTGATCTTAATTTCACTAGTTCAGGTCTGGGTTTTTAAAACTGGAATTGATTACTTAACCCAAAACATGGAAGGTTTTTTATTAGTTTTCCCCATGGCTTTGAGGCAACTTGAGGCTAGCTGATTGACAAAATGCAATGTATTTTCCTTTCATTGGTTATGACTGCTGATGTTTTCAACACCCTTTTCTTCCATTTCTTTCGTTGTCGGGTTGGCAGTTGAATCGTACAAGTTTGAGTGCGGTCTCTTCAAACACACCATCCCAATTTTCCCATACTGTTTTGGGGAATGGGAGATATCAAGGGTTATGTTTCAAGACAAAAGCTACGGGTTCTGTTGAAGGAAGTGTACTTGGGAAAGAATCAGCTAGTGTCAGTCACAAGATAGGTAACTGCTCCTATTCGGTATCGTTTTGTTAGGTCTGCTTTATATTTGCTGTCTATGTTGGATATCTGATCCCAGGGAAACAAAACCTAGTCTTGGTAGCCTGATTTCTCTAAGTTTAAGAGCTGAAACAGAGAATGAAATTGGAATCAGATCGATCCCTGTTATAGAACATCTGGCATTTCAAGCATCTTTGAAAATTTTGATTTAAAAGCATTAAAGAAAGTTAACATTTCATTTGTATTTCATCTTTCTCTTATTTACAAAACATACTTATTCTCTTTATCAAACATGTTTCATGTAGTTTTTCCTAAATGCAAATTTGAAATTCCTAGTTAGTTTATAAAACAGAATGAATGCAAATCTCTTGTTTTTAGGTCATTGATGAGAACAGAACACCAAACCCACCCACCTCGGTGCCATAGCTCATAGTTTGCCACTGTGCCATGGACTTTACAGGCAAAATAGAGTTGGTATTCATTCTGTATAACTTTTCGGTTAAGTGTATATTGTTGCTTTCTCCTGCATTTTATTCATTTCCAATCTTTGGATAGAATTACATTTAGTTATTGTCATTGATGTAGATTATGGAGTTATTGGTGTTCACCATGTTGGAATTCTGTGTGAAAACCTTGAAAGATCGCTTGAATTTTACCAGAATATTTTAGGTATGCTGCCCTTTTCTATTCTAATATATTCATTTGTTTGGTAAGAGAGAAAAGAAATATAAATTGAGCATCTGCTTCTAAATGTTAAATTAGGACTTGAAATAAATGAGGCTAGGCCACATGATAAGCTTCCATATAGAGGTGCTTGGTTGTGGGTGGGTTCTGAGATGATTCATTTGATGGAACTTCCAAATCCGGACCCCTTAACTGGAAGACCTGAACATGGGGGCCGAGACCGTCATGCTTGTATTGCAATTCAGGATGTATCAAAGCTGCAAACAATCCTCGACAAAGCTGGTAAAATCCTTTTTCCTTATTCCATGGTTATCTTTGCAAAGTTATATCTCGGTGTATATTTATTTGCATGGTATCTATTTGTTTCTAGCTTTATAATTGCAGAATGCAGATTTCTCATTCTGTAGTTTTCGAAGGGAATGAGGATATCTTATTGCAATATTGTTCCATATTGCAGGTATTCCCTACACACTTAGCCGATCTGGGAGGCCTGCAATCTTTACACGGGATCCAGATTCAAATGCACTAGAATTCACTCAAGTTGATGCCTGAGATTTTTTAGCACATATAGCCTGGATTTCTAGAAGTATACCTGTATGAATTTCTCAACCTAGAAGTGGGCTTTATGGCTGCATGCATCAGTTTGGAATGCTTTGGCATATGGTCTCATCTTACCTTCTTGTATTAGATCAGCAGAAGAACAGACGAACACAAGTCATCCTATATTACATACAGGTTTATTTTGCAACGACTGATATGGATTTCCATGGATCAGTCATCTCAGGAAGGGCTACGGGTATCCTGTACCAAGAATTACTTCCAGATGAATGCCTAAAATATACGAAATAAAAATTTTTGATCTTTTATATATACACATTTTAAAGACGGGTTCGTCAGTAGAAAGTGTTCTTTCATATATACACATTGTAATGTGCAAAATCACGCTTGAACTAATCCTTTACCTTCGGTATCCACTCCATAGGCAAATTCAGTTGCTACTTTCAACCTCACTCCAAGAGTCCCATGCCCCCATTTTTTGGGTGGGGGGTGAAGAATGAATCTGTTTTCACCTTGAAACAAGATCTTGCATCCCAGAAAAGGTACCATGACATACAACCTGCTTAAAATTATGTTCCAGACAATGTCACGCGCGACTTCCACTCCTGTATGGCAGAGCGTAACGTCTGATTTGGAGTCAATACGGAATGCTGAAGCCTACACTTCGTAACTGGTGATACATTGTGTTTCTCAAGCCACGCCTTAATTGCTCTGTGTTCATAAGTAAAACCATCAGCGGCAATGTGAGGGTCATCCATCACTTCCTGTACTATCCAAAAAAAAAAAATCTTTGAGAATGCAAATATCCAAGATCACAGTTGATTTATGAACCAGAAATTCTGCTAACAGTTTTCACCTGAAGGATTGGACAGCAGTAATGGCTTGGAGCGTATACATTGTTCTTTTCTAACTTTAAACTAGCATCTGCAACATCAACAAGTCTTTTGAGAATTGGCAGAATCTCTGTGTCAAGATCTGGTCTGTCCCTGCATCTTAGCTTTGAACACTTCAATGCTATTCGAGCCAATTCTTCTGTTTCAGCTAGCGGCCAATCTGTAACTGACTTGTCTAGAATGTCAGCCAAGGAGCTCTTTGTAATGGCATTTTCAACTGCCAGTAGAAGACCATTGGGATGGCGAGCTGTCAGTAACTGGAGTGTTGTAACTCCAAGAGCATATAGATCTGATTTTGGTCTGATGGTGCCAGTTCTCTGATACTCAGGGTCCATGTAGTAGAGAGTACCAGCAATAATAGAGTCTCTGTATTCGGTGATGTTGTCAGGCACGACATCTGAAATAAGCTTAGCCAGCCCAACATCCCCAATTTTGCTCAGATAATTTCTATCTAACAATATATTACCTGGTTTTAAATCTCTATGGACAATAGGATCTGGCTTTGAGTTATGTAAAAATGCAAGCCCAGAAGCTACTTCAAAAACTATGCGGAACCGAATACACCAAGGAAGTGGAGGTTTTCCGTTTCGCTGGAAAATATATTCCTCCAAGCTACCATTTTCCAAGTATTCATAAACCAAGCAACCATTCTCTGGACAGGCTCCAAGCAGCAAAACAATATGTGGATGGTGCAGCTGGCTTAGAACTTCAACCTGCAAAAAATATGGGGTGAAATTTTTATGCCATAATTGCAGTGAAAATTTTGAGCCATTTACGGGAGACTCATTGCCATATACTTCGCGTTTAGCAAGCAATAGAAACTAGCCATGGCTCATAGTACACAAAATGGAAACCTTCTAACGTACAAATTTATGAACTTTATAACAGCAAAGGGACAGCCGGACATAGAGTTCAGAGTAGGAAAAATCTTAGCTTGGGATCCAGTTCAAAAAGTTCTTCAAAAAATTCATGATGGTTGATAAAAGCAAGAAATCAGTTCATTAACATGATTGCAGCTACAAACTATAGGCTACAGAAAATTACCTCCTTCAGAAATTCCTCTTTCCTGTCTATCGCATCAGGTTGAAGAACCTTAACAGCAACTGGAGTGTGATAAAGACTACATTTATAGACTTTCCCATATCCTCCCTGACCAATCACATTACTCTCAGAGAAGAAATCTGTGGCTACTTCAATTTCATCACTGGTGTATTTTCTGTACCTTTTGTCTCCACAGAAGAGTGCATCAACAATTTTCTGCTTCTCCAAGGACTTTTTAAGAGCATTCAATTCAGCCACCTGCCTTTCATAAGCTTCTTTAGAAAGCAGGTTTTTCGCCTCATCAACCTCCTTCGTTGCTTGCATATGTTTTGCTTTCTCTTCTGCAGCAATTTTTCTAAAAGTTTCTTCTCTTTCCAGAGCAGCATTCACTCTTCTTGCTTCCTCAAGGCATTCTGAAGAAAGTACTTGGACCTGCAAATTAAAGCATGAACGACTACATTCAATAGTATGGACACAAAAGCCACACATTATTTCTAGGCTATCCGAATACACAAATTATTCTCTCAACTCGCAACTAAGGAATACAGGATATGCAAACGCTAAGAAATTGCATTTTGGATACCATCTATTCCGGTCTGTGGACTGTGGTTGAAATCCTGTAATTTCAAAACATAGTTTTTCATTTCTTGAAATTTTTAAGTGGTGGGGGATAAAATCGTGTAGAGATCTCTCCAACAACAACATGGGTTGTTGAAAGGATTCTCAAGAAAGGGAAATTGAAACTGTGAGAAATGCAAAATCCACATATATGTGCTCATTCTCTCACCTTGTTCTGGGTGTGGACAAGCTCTTCACAAGCTTGTTTATACATGGCAACAGTATTTTGTAATTCTAGATGCAGCTGTTCCACTTCAGCCTGCAGATCATACTCCACATAAATTCCATCAAAACTTATCCAAATAAGACATGGAATTGACGAATTACCAAAATAACATGCCACCGCCACTAATAAATGCTCAAGAAAACTCACCTGTTCAGTCTTTGCAGAAACCATGGAATTGGACTGCCTAAAAGAACTACCATTTGTTGAAGATCCCACAGATGAAAATGCATATGAATATGGGTAGTCAAGCTCTAATAAAGATGCTATCCCAAAGGAGTTTTGCACTTTAGATTCTGCAGAAGCATTAGCGGGACCGGATATATGTTTATTAATGCCACTGGAACTTTCTTTTCGATCAGTAGCAGTAAAAACTGGTGGCCTATGACTGGTCCCTGTGATATTGCAAACGAGAGAATGAAGACTGCTGGTAAACGGATTATCTTGAAAGCTTCCATTAGTAGGACATAAATAAATGTGGATGCAACCATTTCTAGCTTACCGCTAGTCGATAATTGATTAGCTGATTTTGTGATGATTCTTTGTGTATATATAACCTGAATATCACAAGTATCAGGGGCACGCCTCAGGACAGTAATAGGTACCCCAGGACCCTTCAGCTTCCTATGGTAGATATTGCTGAAGGTTAGCATTTGTAATTCCATAGCCACAAAAATAAGCTAACAGGATTACTATGCAGGCATCTGAAAAACTTGGTCAACAATATTTCCTATATACAAGCTCTTTATTCAACTTTGAAATAGCAAAACTAGGGAGTAAATAGATGCCATTAAGCTCAGTTCATATATCCACATAGGTTTCAAGTTTCACCATTAAATGAACAGTGGCAACGCATACCTTGTTATACAGTTGGAACTATAAGAACCCAATACCAAAGTGTTAATCCCAAACTCAGAAATGTATCTTAGAAGCGCAGTAGCAGGATTGTCATCCTCAAGCACCAATGTTTCCATCTAACAAAAAATGAAATAAATTTTTTAAAAGAAAAATAGAAGAGAAATTTGGTCCAGAATTTATACTTCATTTAGAAGATCAATTTTATAAGAACCTTTTATTTTTTAGAAAAGAAGCCAAAACCCACCTTTCTTGTTTTGAATAGCTTCTTAAATGGTATAAACACTTCCTCAAACTTAAGTTTCACTTCTTGAACATACATTGCCACAACGTTCTCATCCATTTCCGTGATGGGTATCCGATCTCCTGCTGTGGTAATCATATACACACCAAACAATCAACATAAAGTAGCTCAATTTAACACCTTTTTGTTTGAAAAAAAAGTAAAAAACTATTAACACTTTTTCACCATAACTATTCGCATGGATTTATTTTGAGACTTATATAATTTCCTGCACGTAGTTAAAGTAGCTTGCTTGGTCTCAATAACTGAATTAACCAAACTAAATTTTCTTCATAACAACGATCCTCCATTAAAATTTGAATATCTCCGGATTCATGTAACTTTCAAAAGTTCAATTCAATTAAACATAATTTGATTAAATAAAAAAAGACTAAAGAAAGAAAAATGAATTATGGAAAGGAAATATCATATAACCAATACTTACACGGAGTTGGAACAGAGGCGACTGCTGGCATGACGTGGACCAAAACGAAACGATCAGCTTTCAAATTCTCCACCGCCCATAGAACGGCGCGTCGGCTACCGCTTCCCCCGGAGGCTCCTCCCTTCACGGCAACAGCTACCGTCGTCATCTTCGGCGGAGCACTACCGCTGCTGGCACCAGCCACGCTCATTTCGGATACCTTTCCAGTTAAAAGTTCGTTCTTTTGAAACCTTGTCGGAGATACCGTTGACGACAGGTTATTTACTCATCTTGACTTCTTGTTTACTGCTACTAGTAAATAAAATGTGGTAATAATCGTTTACAAAATATAAATTGGTTTTTCAACGAATTTTACCATTTAACCCTATTTTTTTATTCCCTTCAATTTGTACTCTCTATTTCATTTTTTTAATTTTTTAATTTTTTTTAATTAAAAAAATTTAAATCTTATTTTTTAATAAAAAATTATGTACTAATTAATAAATAAATGTTTGAATGTATTTTAAATTTATATCTTTTGTTTTATCCTTTATATTTTTATTTACTTTCGTCTTTCATTTTTCTAAAAAACCATCAAAGAAATTAATTTGAATCGTAAATCTCATTTAATAAAGAAGTTATTAAAGAGAAATCAATTGAGGATGTTATAGTCATCTTAAATCCCATCTCAATTATATATTAAGATGGTATTGAACATTTAAAAATTCATACCCATTTTATTCTATAAAACATCTTATAGAGCAAATCCATAAAGTATGCGAGTCAAAGCAGAGGAGTTGATATACCTAAAAACAGACAACAATTCACAAAGTTAATAACCATGATAGCTCGTCCTTTTATTTCATTTTCCATTTCTCTGCCAAACCATCTCTTCCGTTCAAAATGTCATTTAGAAAGGTAACTCTTGGGATGAAGAAGGTAATTGGGAAAGTTGTAAAGCTCAAAACTTTTAAGGTGCAACAAATTTCTATTTCATGGAGCTTAGAAGAAATGCTTAGGTTGGCACTCTACTAAGGATTCTTTTGTAGTAATTCTAACTGGCCTTACAACCATTATAGCTATTTTACAAAATATCATTACTGATTTTATACAATAAATTTTAAAGAACCAACAACTTGTTTATAACAGTCAACACCTTCTGGAAAACCCAAGAGTTTTCTTGAACTTTAAAATATAACCCTTTGAGCATCAAAATAAATTGAATGAAAATGAAAATAGTATAACTATTTATTTTACTAAATCATTGATTTATTATTTTGAGGCAATTTTTGACTTAATATTTTTTAATTAAAATTTAAGTTTTATTTATTTATTTCTTGGTTCAATTTTATAATTTTTTTTTCTAAATTTCAATTTTTTAATACAAAATTGTAAATTGGGATCTAAAATTTAAACAACATATTTTTCTAAACTATTAATTTATTTTTTATTATTTAAATTTATATTTGATACACGAACAGTATATAAAAACTATACACGGTCAACTTATCAAGTACTACCAGGTAAAATTAAAAATTTCTAAAAGTTAAAAAGTTGTTAGTAATTAATTAAATAAAAAAACAAAAAAAAATCTTTTTTCTCTCCAACTCTCTCATAATTTATTATTATTATTATTAATAGTAGTAGTAATTTTTATCCCTTTTCTAACTCCATCTTCTTCTTCCTTTCTTATTCTTCTATTAAAATTAAAAATTAAAATATTTCACTTTTTCGAAAAATCTCTTTCACATTTTTTTCTTGTCTTGTCATAGACATCTAAATTAAAATCTTATTGAATTCTTAAGAGAGTGTGTTGCTGAATCCCTAAAAGAGAAAAAGAGTGAAAAATTTAATATGGAGATTTTCTTTTTGGTAAGAGAAAGAGAAAGAAAAGGAACTGTTTGAACCAAAATGCCTTACAGCTTAACAAGAAAATAATTCTTTCGTTGGTTAGCATTGGAACGAAATGGGGGAGCTAGTCGATTTGACCAACATTTGTGATAAGGAATCCTTTTGACAATAGGATAGCATTAGTGTTGGAAAAATTTTGTTGCAACTCATGTTAGAATTTTAATTTGATATTAAATTGATGTTAGTTATTTACTTTTACCATTTTTATCATTTAGCTTTAATGATTATAACCCTAAATCAAACTAAAAGTAAAACTCTAATTTATTTACTTGAAAAAATAACCATTGATTACCATATTATAACCCTAAATCAATGGTAAAAATCACTTAAAAAATATATCACTAAAGTTAACAAGTAAAAATTATTTTCAAATCACTTGAAGTTGAATAATTTTGCAAAACTTAGTTTTAGCAAAAGAAGAAGAAGAGGAGGAGAAGAAGATAATAGAGTTAGAAAGGAATAAAAAGAAAAGAATAATTAAAGAACAATGTGAGGGAGTTAGAGAATTTTTTTTTGTTTTCATTTAACTAATTATTAAAAAAAATTTAGTATTTAAATTTAAGGTTTTAAGACTTTTAGTTGTACTTCATTAATGAAATAGTTGCATTTGGTGAGCTGACAATGCATATATTTGACACACTTTCAGTGTATCAAATATTAATCTTTATTATTTAGGTGAATTTCTAATATTTTTTCTATTTAACATTTTTATTGAACATATAAATTTTATTTAATTTATATTGATTATGTGGTATATTTTCAAATTCATAGATTGCAGGAGATGACCAAGAAAGTCTAATGAGAATACTCTTATTTTCGTTCTAATTCTTTTATTTCGGCTCATTCGTTGTCATTTCTAGTATGCTAAAAATATCTTCAGATCTTAAAATTAAAAAAGTCAATGTTTTTAAAAGTCGGCTGTTGAATTTTCTCAGGTCCAATAATCTAATCACTTCCGTGTCCGTTCCATCTTCCATTTCTTACCAAGATATGTTTTAGAAAAACAACACTTGAGTTGAAAAGGGGGGCTGGGTTGTAGAGTTGAAAACCTTTGAACTAATAAATGAAATTAATTTCTATGGCATGACTTTACAGTTACTTTACATAATATTGTTATCGATCTTATGCAATAAATTGGCCAAAATATTATAAAAGTAATGAAAAAGTTTTAAAGAATCAAGACTTTAGAGAAAACCAAAAGAGTATAGCTATTTATTTTACTAAATTATTCAATTATCATTTTAGCAAACAAATATTTATTTATTATCTGGAGCAATTTTTTTACTTAATACTTTTCAATCAAAATTCAAGGTTTATTTATTCATTTACTTGTTCAATTATATAATTAACTTTCTAAATTTCAATTTTTTGTTACAAAATTGTAAATTTGAATTTTAAATTGTAACTATTTGTTTTTCTAAATTTATTGATCTATTATTTAGGATAAATCCTTTATTGGGTGAGTAAGCTTTTATCTTGTTTGTACGGCGTTTCGTCGGCGCGGAGATAAGACAGATCGAGGGCTTGAGGCCTTGAGACTGTTTTTGTGGTTAGGGGAAAGGACACGTACCTATCTCGTGCTATAAAGAAATATCTGTAACAGTTGCACATTTTTTTTTTCTTTGAAAAGTCTTTGTCAACGAATCATAAAACCATCTGCTTCCCCTATGACTGCAGAGTAATAATTTCATGAATATCTCTTATGAGGCTTGTGGTCTCATCTCAATCCTCATCCACACAGATGAGCGTCATCATTTTACCTTGCATCAGATGTTAAGATTTTGGGTCTGACCTTTCTCAGCGAGGGTAGAAATTTCTAAATTTAGAAATTTCTAAATTAGGTGCATCCAATGAACACAATTTATAAGTAGGCATACCTTTTCAACCCAGTGAACTTCATGAATGAAACTTTGGGGAGAACTTGAAGAATTTGAACTTTTTTATTAATACAATGAATGAAACTTTGAGGAGTATATATCACACAACACTTTGTTAATCTTTTTTTATTATTATTATGGAATTCGAGACTTTATTTAACCAAAAGTTCATTTGCACAGAAAGTGGGATGTTACTTGATGAAGCATCAATAACTCAAACCTCCACAGTTGAAGGTGCAAAATCTTCAATGAACCGGGTGAACTCATCCACGTAATTGTTACTTAACTCTTCATCGCAAATATCTCTCATTGCCCATGCATTTGCTCTTAGTGGCTCGCCTTCTGGCTCAACCATCACCTGCCTAATCGTCTGAGCCACCAAGTCGCTCGTAAATGATCCGTCCAGCTCGTTTCTCTCTATTTCTAACCCAACCTTCTTGCCATGCAACAACCTAGCGTTCAACCCCTGATCCGAGCTTGCCCCGGAAAACAAGATCAAAGACCGACCAAACTTAAGTGCCTCGATAATTGAACTCCAACCACAGTGAGTTAAGAAGCCCCCAACAGAGGAGTGAGCCAATATCCGTAGTTGAGGTGCCCAATCCTTCAACACCAAACCCCTATCAGAAACTCGTTCCTCAAACCCTAGAGGGATTATGTCCTGACCCATCTGCCCTTCAACTAGTGGGCGGTTCCTGACCACCCAAATAAAGGGCAAGTTAGATTTCTCGATTCCAAATGCCAATTCGTGCATAAATTCTTGACTCAGACTCACTTCAGTACCGAGTGCAACATAGAAAACTGACTTCTCTCCTTTTCTGTCAAGCCATTTCTTTATATCTTCCCAACTCTCATAGCTCTTATCTTCGTTAGTTGGAAGTGATGGAGGCAGCAAACCGACTGGAACAACGGGTTTCTGGTAAAGTTTTTTAAGCAATTGAGTCTGATCAGGTTCGAACTCGGTGCAGCTCCGAAAAATTACAAATTGGCAACCCTGAATCACTTGTCCAAGCCGTTGAGAATCAGACACATCGTCCATGCACTCTTGGTGACTCACCATCTCATGGAGCTTAAAAGCTATGTTACAAGGATAATCTATCCACTTAGGGACAACTGTGAAGTCTTCTGGTCGTTTGCGAAGATCACCAATCAAAGCTGATGGTGGGCCAAGGAAAGCAAGCAGCGTGGCATTGAATATGCTGAAGAAAACTAAGTTGATGCCGAGCGGAATTCAAACTCCAGGTAACCAGTGAGGCACAAAGTCATGGATTATCCAGTTGACATGTGAGGTTTTGAGGAACTCAGTCAAAGGGACTTCGAGCTTGTCATATGCCTTTTTAAGGTAAGGAACTTTCTGAATCGGTATCTCAGCGGTGGACTCAACTCCTGGTGGTAGGCCATGAACCTGAGGAAGAGAAATCTCAATAAAGCTTATGTTAGAGGACATATGTGCGGGGAGTTTAGGGAGGCGACTAATGTTTTTGGGGGTAGAGATATAGGATATGCGATGACCATTTTGAGCCAAGAATTTGGAAACCTCGAGAAATGGCATAATGTGACCATAAGCTAGCCATGGGAACATTGCTATGTGAAGCTTTTCTTTTGTGTCCATGGCGTTTCGTGAGTGCATTGTTTCGGGGAAAATAGAAGGAGAATGAGGACTTGAGGGCTTTTGTTCCTTCAGTAAAACTGAAAATGATTTCTTCATTTAAATGTGAGAGATACCAGATCAAAGTATCTCTATAAAATACTTTTTTATTTTGGCTGAAAATCATTAACATAATAATAATAATAATAATAATAATAAAAATAAAAAATCTCATTAAAAATCTTAGTATTGTGTGAGACAGGGCAGATTCTCTGCTTTAAATCATTTGTCATTATTTCTTTTTAAGTCAAAGTTTGAATAACTCGAAAGGAATTAGGTGCATGCAAGTAGCAAATACGAAATTTGCTTCTGATTAAGTTTGAATATTCATAAAGCATTTCAAACTTTCTCGTAGAAGCTTAAAAGTCTGAAATTTGAAAGCACTCCTTGTCGTCTCTAAATTGAAAGCCAAAATACCACTCGCCTTGTTTTTATTAACATCCTAACTGGAATAAAGCAGCATGCAGTAACTCAATTGAACAAATTTTCTTAGCGTATTTTAAAAAAAGTTTTCAAAAATAAGATATTTTTAAAAATAATCTTTGTTATAATTTTAACTAGTTTTAGTTAAGTTAAATAAAATTAACTTTCATGAAACCTTTTTATATCAAGTGCACATGATATTACATGTCATGCACATGATGTTATATATCATATACAAAAACATGTTACACGTAATGTATTATATCAAATGCACATGATGTTACACGTCATGCACGTAATGTTATACACCATGCACATAATGTTACACATCATGTTAAAAAATATTATTGGTACACGTTATGTACTAAAACATATTACATTTCATGTATTATAACAAGTGCACATAATATTACACGCCATGCACATAATGTTGCACACTTTGTTAAAAAATGTTATTATTACGCGCTATGGTTAAAAAAGTTGTTACACGTCATGTTAAAAAAATTATTATTACACGTTATGTACCAAAAACATATTACACGTTATGATTAAAAAAAATTATTATACATCATGTTAAAAAAAATATTATTGTACATGTCATGTACAAAAATATGTTGTGCGCCATGCTGAAAAAAATATTATTATTACACACTATGTTAAAAAAATATTATTATTACACGACATGTTAAAAAAAATTGTTACACTTTAATGCTTGAAATGTTTGTGCTACTTATAAATTAAAACTTCCAATCCTTTCAACTCTCTTTATTTCTTTTTACTTTTATTTTTTACGATTTGGGACTAATTAAAATGTTTCTAGTATGTTTTCATAAAGAAAAACACAATTTTACTTATCTAAAATACCTATTTCAACTAAAAATAAAAAAAAATCTTTTTGAAATCTTAGGTTTATAAATTTCAAATTTTTTAGTCTATTGATATCTAGGTTCCAAATTGATTCAATTAAAAACCATTTTAAATATCTATGATCATTTTTACTATTTTAATTTCATAAAAAACACTTAAAAATCAAACCATCTCTTTTGATCTATTTTACATTTCTTATCAAAATGTCATTTAAAAAGGTAACTCTGCTCTGGATTCTTTTGTAGTAATTCTAACTAGCCTTACAACCAGTACAGCTATTTACATAATATCATTACTAATTTTATACAATAAATTTTAAAGAACTAACAACTTATTTATAACAGCCAACACGTTCCGGAAAACCCAAAGTTTTCTTGAACTTTAAAATGAAACCCTTTAGCATCAAAATTGAATGAAATTGAAAATAGTATATCTATTTATTTTACTAAAAGATTGATTTATTATTTTAGCAAAAAAAGTATTAATTTATTATTTTAGGCAATTTTTGACTTAACATTTTTTAATCAAAATTTAAGGTTTATTTATTTATTTCTTTGTTCAATTTTATAATTATTTTGCTAAATTTCAATTTTTTATACAAAATTGTAAATTTGGATCTTAAATTTAAACTATATATTTTTCTAAACTATTAATATATTATTTATTATTTGAATTTATATTTGATGCATGGACAGTAGATAGAAACTATAACTTATTAAATACTGTTATCTCATTAATGAGGTAAAACTAAGAATTTTTAAGAACTTAAACTTAAGTATTAAAAAATTGTTACTAATTAATTAAATAAAAATAAATAAAATCTATTTTTTCACTCCAACTCCCTCGTAATGTTTTTTTTTTATTTTTTATCCCTCCCTAACTCCATCTTCTTCTCCTTTTCTCTTCTTCTATTAAAATTAAAAATCAAAATAATTCACTTTTTTCAAAACCCTCTTTCACCTTCCTTTCTTGTTTTTTCATAAGCATTCAAACTAAAATCTTATTAAATTTATAAGAGAGTGTGCTGCTAAACCCTAAAAGAGGAAGAGTAAAAATTTTGATATGGAATTTTTTTTTTTGTTGAGAGAAAGAGAAAGAAAAAGAACCCCTAAACCAAAATGCCTCATAAGTCAACAAGAAAGTAATTCTTTTGTTGGTTGACATTGGAACCAGGCGAGGGAGCTAGTTGATTTAACCACCAATTATGATAAAGAATCTTTGTCATTGTGAGATAATATTAAAGTTGGAAAAATTTTGTTGCAACTAATGTTAAAATTTTAATTTGATATTAAGTTAATGCTAGTTAATTACTTTTACCATTTAATTTTTATCATTTACTTTTAATAGTTATAACCCTCAATCGAATTAAAAGTAAAATTCTAATTTATTTATTTTAAAAAAGAATACTTGATTATCATATTGTAACCCTAAATCAATTATAAAAATCATTTAAAAAGTGTATCACTAAAGTTGACAAGTAAACATTATCTTGAAGTCTCTTGAAGTTGAACAAT